CAAAAATGATAAATTTGACCTCAATGTGCTAATGGGCCAAAACTGAAGCCCAACTTGTGTTATGTATTATTCAGTGTCAAATTTGTTATTTTTTCATCTTGAGCAACGTTTGAAATATTTATTTAAATTTTTGTGACAACATACATTGATGTTGTGTCAATGCACTAGATTTTTTTCGGATTTTTTTCGAACATTTTTCAATATGCAACGGACGACTGGTACATCGGTAGCACAAATTGCCCCGGTGCACTAGATACATCCCCGTCTTTGAACAAACCCTAAAAAAGAAAGAATCTTGTTGTAATTCAATCATGTACAAGTTAGCTCCCCTTTGATATTTTATTCTAGTACTCGCTATCCAGTCAAGATCCCACGAAGGAAACCGAACTACTGCGTCAACCAAATATGTGAATCTGGCCTTTCAAAAGGTGTAATTTTTATTTGTAAGTAACACACAAACTCACTTACCTAGTTGAAATAATTCATCATTCTTATTCACTTTTCTTTTCTTAAAAGAGGAAAAATGCATTGCACTTTTTTGGATTTAGACTTGATAATGACCAGAATAATATAATTGTCTTTTTTGTAGATAAAGCGGTGAATTTTCTCTGCACGACATGTAGAACAGAAGATTTTCATTTGTTTTTCATAAATTTGAATTGCTCCATGTTTCCATTTTGAGCTCGCATTAGTATACATACTAAACTTTTTCCAAGATTACAATTGTTGTTTTGTATACGAGAAAAATAGTATTTGAGATGTGGGACATTAGAAATGTGGTGATTTCTTCCCCACCACATGTTGCTTTCTTATCCTCTCAAAACCGCATATGCTCTTCTCTCTTCATTCCTTTTTGTTTCTCATTCCTACTAGATCAAATTCTAAATCGAGCACTTAATGGTTGCTTCATCCAGAGAGGGAGAAGGGATTTTTATTTTGGAAGACGAGAGGGTGAAGCTTTAGGAGGTGATGTCATTGATAATCCTCATCCTCGATGTGACTCGGTGATGGTTGCAACACGCTCATCATCTGTGGAGACTTGCAAGTTCAAACCATGAAGGAACAAGGGGATGCACCATCATATCACTGTTTGTGGGCATCAAGAGGAGAGAAAAGCATGATGAACAACACCTGACCTCTACGTAACTAGAATGCACATAGTCATACACTAATGCTACTTGTGAGTTGTGTTGGGATTTTCCCTGAAGAGAAAGGGTGAAGCATTACAGTAAATATCAGTATTTTCCTCAGTGAGGACGAAGGTTCTCAAACCAATAGGAGCACCAACCAAAACCAAGTGAACAACACCAGCACACACAAAAGCAAATACTTGCACCCAACATAGGCAAGAGGGTCGTCAATTCCCTTGAACTCGTTACTTGCAAGGATTAAATCTTGTATAGATAGATAGGTAAATTGCAAAACAAAAAAAAAGTAAAATAATTACAGCAAGGTATTTTTAGTTTTACTAATATTATTAATGTAGACACCGGGGCCATAGTTTTCTCTAGAAGCTTCTCTCTTGAAACAATAGCATACAGTGGGTAGACAAATTACTATTGGGCAATTGGTAGAAAAACACATAGTTATGACGTATTCGTGGCAATGATCGTGTATATAGGCATCACGTCCGTGACAAGTAGATCAACTCCTACCTGCATCTACTACTATTACTCCACCAATCAACCGCTATCCAGAATGCATCTATGGTATTAAGTTCACAACAAACAGAGTAACGTCTTAAGCAAGATGACATAATGTAAACAAAGTAAACTCAAGCAATATGATTAAACCCCGTCGTTTTATCCTTAATGGCAACAATACAATATGTGCCTCGCTCCCCTTTTGTCACTGGTTGAGGACACCGCAAGATTGAACCCACCACAAAGCACCTCTCCCACTAAAGATAAATCAATCTAGTTGGCCAAACCAAAGGGATAGATCGGAAAGAAAAACAAAGCTATAACAATCATGCATAATAAAGTTCAGAAAAGAGTCAATTACTTTCAATTAATAACCTAATCATAAACCCACAATTCATCGAATCTCAACAAACACACCGCAAAAGAAGATTACATCAGATAGATCTCCAAGAAGATCGAGGAGAACATTGTATTGAAGATCACAGAGAGAAGAAGCCATCTAGATACTAGCTATGGACCCGTAGGTCTGTGGTGAACTACTCACGCATCATCGAAACACAGCAAGGATAATGTAGAAGCCCTCCTTTACCGATTCCCCCTCCGAAAGAGTACCAGAAAAGGCCTCCAGATGGCATCATGGAAGAACAGAGGCTTGCGGCGGCGAAAAAAGTGTTTCGGGTAGCTCTCTGCTGTTTTGGGAATATATGTTAATTTATAGAGTGAGATTAGGCCAAACGGAGCTGCGAGGGGCCCACAAGCTCAGGGGCACGCCCTGTGAGCTCGTGGCTCTCTCGTATCTCTTGTGGCCTCCTAAATAACCTTCTCGGGTCCCTTCTGGTCCAGAAAAAATCATGGTAAAGTTTCATCGTGTTTGGACTTCGTTTGGTACTGATTTTCTAAAAATGCCAAAAACAAGCAAAAAACAAAAATTGGCACTGAGCATTGGGTTAATAGGTTAATCTCAAAAAATGATATAAAATATCATATAAAGCATCCAATATTGATAATATAGCATGAAACAATCAAAAATTATAGATACGTTGGAGACGTATCAACCAACAATCTGAGAAAAGAAAATAAAAAACCAACACATCGACAATAGAAGAGTCATTTGGGACTGACACTATGCCTATATCAAAGGAGGTGGTGGGGAGATCCGGATATTATTGTTGCCACCTATCTTAGGTAAAAATCTATGTGGCCACCGCTCCAACCACACACACACCACCCTGAACAACGGTTGGTACTTGGTTTGGTGTAGTGTAGACCACATACAAAGAGAGTGTGTACAACGAAAAATGACCTACGAAGGATTTTTTTGCCACTAAAACCAAATCAATTCTACATAGCCAAAGCTACCATAATAAGGCATATGCTCCCACCTTTATAAGCTTTCTGAACCTATTTGGAACACGGTCCAACCAATGACCAAAACAATTGGCAACACTTGTGGGTGGATACAAAATTGGATGCTATTTGGATGACTGACCACGTAGAGCGCGCAAACTTGCACTGAAAAAGAGGTGTTTGATTGTCTCATTATTAGTACAAAAGTTACACTTCTTACTTCCTTGACAATTGTGATAGGCGATGTTGTGTTTGGTTGCAAAACTCCCCTCCGAAGATACCACATGAAGATTTTAACCTTCAATGGAATCTTCAACTCCACTAAACCTCCATAGTTACTTTCGTATTGATGGACAATTGAGATTGTTCCAAGGGCAATTAGCAGGCAATTTTATTTGAGGGACCACCCCCGTGTAGTAGATTAATGTCGATCATCCAGTTAGTATTATGGGTACAATACCTAGACACCACATTTGCTAAAGTAAACATTGCATTAAACCTCCAAAGCAACTTCCACTTAGTCTTAGGTTGGTCATAAGGGAAAGTATAATATATTAGTATCATACATATTATTGTACTAATGAATGATACTACATCCAAAGTGCATAGTATCATAGCTTGGAATCACAGTGACCTCGTTTATTGTCATGCATGGCAGATACTAATATATTATCATTTAATATGATATGGTATCATATCATGTGATATGGTATAATATCATGACAATCATTTCTCTCTTTCACTATTTGATTGTGTGCCACCTCGGCAGAAATGCCTAGTTGGCATGCATGATACTACCTAGGATACTCTCATTGTGACCATTCTTAGGGCTCTTCCAACATAGGTTTCTCAGCACAGTTTCACAAGTATTTTGTTGATGTGTCATAATAATAAATGAAGAAAGAGATGGAGATTGTAGCTTAGCTAACATACAACCTTTCCACGTAGAGATATGATAAAAATATGCTAGACCATTCACATGTAAGCATGAGCCCGAAATTATTAAATTTAGATACAACCCCTAAGAAACAATGCATTGAGGTAGTTGTCTCTTAGGTTTTTTGACCTTCTACGATAACATGTTAAGAGACAGTGCATTGTGGGAGGCCTTAGTATGTAATTAACTATGAACTTAGTTAAATCCCTTATTTACCGCATTCCTAGCAACCGACGGAATAAAGTATTTTCAAAACTACGGTTTTGGTGCAAGCTTAGCTACATATGTGACAACGTAGTTGCAGGACTGGTAGTAGCCATCCTTTGTCTCCCTTGTTTTGATACATAGACTAGTTTACTATACTTCATGCAAATTGTGCTTGTCAACTAGCCATGTGCACTCGCAGGTCTTCAAGCTATATTAGATAATACATGGTGCATAGTATGATAGGTTGGTATTTTAGATAACCACATTTATTACTTTGCATGAATCATACTATCACCTCATTTATTATGATACAATATGATAAGTAATACCATCTCTTTACTTATTTAATGCAATGTCATGTCATCAATATGCCTTAGTTAGCATTGCCTGAGGCTGCGTTATAATACCCCACTATGGGAGGTCTAGATACAACATTTAGATGATGCCTAAGGCTACTTCTCTATGTTAGCACCAATGGCAATAAAATAAGAAAACTTATAAAGCATAAAAGAAATATAAAACAAATGCGGGAGACAATATAGATGTGTGGCATTTAGTTGATCACACAAAATATATGACATTTCTAATAATATTGTGACATTCGCATGAAAGAATATAAATGCAAATGTCATTGCCTAATATTTGGAATGAATACCATTTATATAAAAGAGCGAACAACATTTATGCAGAATTAGTAAGATATGACAACAATAGTGTTGGAGAATACATGAATTCGACATCATTACTAGCTAAGATGTTATTGCACATCCCTATAAATAGTAGCAAACGGAGGATTTTATGGGCACCGAATATAGAGGAACAAAAGAAGGAAGGGAGATATAACATAAATACTACTTTTTGTTTTCATGGCAATCGCCAAGAGCAATACAACCCGGTCAATGATCGTGTGCCGGATGGTTGTTGCGTTGGTGGGGCTTGCTATGATGTTTACCTTGCCATCTTGTCATGCAAGCACTGGTATGGAAGACATCTCCCTATTACGATATGGATTTTCCAAATGTTTAAGCTTAATAAAACTATAAAAAAAGTGTATAATGTTTGATACATGTGCATACATGTTGTACTTTGTAGAATCTGCTGGTCATCCGACGTTGTGCGAGAGTCTAGATCCATGTGTTAACGATTACACCGGATGCAAAGGTATATGCGTTGGCATGGGCATGAAACACTTCACTTCCTTTTGCAAGGAGTCAAATCCTGCTCCGCTGTGTTGCTGCATAGAGATATAAACCTCGTGGATGGTTCTCCTGCAAGAGCTATGCAAGCTGAACAATGAATGTATCGAGCGGTAATCTCAATAAACATGCTTGTTTTTCTACATCGTCTAGTGTGTATTGTGCCTGTGTATACAAATGTAACGATCCATGTTTTCACATACAATATACAAGTATTGTACTAGTGAGATAACGAACACATGGGTGCAAGGAAAGCACATACTAGTAGAATAGCTGTTTTGTGGAAGCAGAGTGTTTGAAAGAGACTGCAGATCAGGGTTTACGCTTCGTTTCTTGGTTTTCGTATTCCAGTACTACCCTCGGGCGTGTTCTCTCTTCTTAAGGCGGGTTTGAGTCAGTCACATCCCTTTTGGTTTCTTTTATGAGATGCCCCCGCCTATTACTTGCCTCTTCTGTTCCGATTCCGAGGATGCAAAAATTAAAGTTAGTGTTTAGGAAAGCAGAAGATATCTATTAAATCTTGCAAGTAATTGAAAGCCAAAATAACAACAACGGCTTTTTGGTACATCTTCTAATAGAAAATAATTAAAATATGCATCATCATATATGGTTAATATATAGCCTTATGGTGATGCTCCGTGTGTCATGTAGAGTCAGATGTCATAGAATCAGATGTCATAAAAGATATGTCAGATGTTATAAAAGATAGGTTTGGATAGGGAAGCGGGAGCCTTTTGTAGAGAGGATGTCATAAGAGATAGGTTTGGATAGAAAAGCGGGACCTCTGCAAGAGGCTGATGCTTGAGAGAAAAAATATGGTTCGATGTAAAAGAATTGAAAAAGTTGAAATGAAGAATAGAAATGCATATGTATTAAAGTTTTATATTTTCTAATCCTTAATGTTAAAGTTTTTATTTTCTGGGATGTCATGAGAGGTAGGTTTCGATAGTGAAGCGACATTCTTTGCAAGAGGCTGATGCTTCAGATGTAAAAAACTGAAAAAGTTGAAGATCCATACGTATTAAAGTTTTTATATTCTATTTCTTGATGTTAAAGTTTTGGGAATCGTTTGAGGCCGGTGCACCAACAGCAGATCGTTTTGGGAATCGTTTGATCGGGCGGCTGCTCCCAGCCGCCCGAAACATTCGGCCGGCGCACAGTGTTGCCTAAAGTTTATATGTTCTTTCTTTGATGAAGCCCAATAATAGTATGTCAGGACCCCGACTCAATGCCACATCGATCTAGCATGTAACACCTCATATCACTTTGCGGCCTCACGCACGGTATTTCCACGGGTGTCGCCTTACCTTTGCCCAGGACCGTTTGCGCCTTTTGGCACACGTATATGATAGTGTCGCTAGCATCCATATGATAAGGAGCCCGGGCTGACATGGCTAGTCGTAAACCCAAAGTGGCACAAACTTACAGGGACAGGCATCCATGACCCAGCATCGAACATGTCGGTCATCAGCGAGTGAATCCAGGCTGTAGCACTGGGCTAGCAGGACTCTGGTGAACCGGGCTGTAGCGGGCTAACAGGACTCTGGTATTTATCGCGTGACATTTCCCCGAAGGGACAGACACAGGAACGAAGAAGGACACATGCCGGCCAGTCTAAGTGTTCCGGAGCAGTAGCAAGCTACCATGGCTCAGTGGAAACACTAGGAGACATTTCCCGGTAAGAGAGGCTACTAAGAATAAACAACTAGATAGTCAGATCCCACACATACCAAGCATTTCAATAACATACACACAATATGCTCGATATGTGCAAATACAACATGGCATCACAACATAACTCTACAACTCAAGTATTTATTCAATAGGCTCCGAGGAGCGAGATATTACAAACATGAGTCTCATGACCCAACATTCAGAGCATACAAATCAAAGCACAAGCGGAAGCTCAACATGTCTGAGTACAGACATCTACAAATGAAAAAGGCTTGAAAGCCTGACTATCTACCAGATCCTGCCGAGGGCACAAGATCGTAGCTGAGGTAACAAGCTAAACGTCGAAGTCCACGTGGAGCTACTAGCGAGACCGAAGTCTCTCTGCAAAAACATAAAATAGGCAAACGTGAGTACAAATGTACCCAGCAAAACTTACATCAGAACTATCTACATATGCATCATTATCAACAAAGGGGATGGTGGGGTTTAACTGCAGTAAGCCAGCTTTGACTCGGTGGCTATCCTAAACTACGACTGCAAGCAACTCTTTTGAGGTGGCGCACACGAGTCCACATATTCACCAACCAATACACCACTATGGAACCGCTCCCGTCTTCCTACGAGAACGCCATCCATAGCACTCACGCTTATCTTGCGTATTTTAGAGTATCCACTTTCACTTGTCTATGAACTGATATAAGCAACCCAGAAATCCTTTACCGCGGACACGGCTATTCGAATAGATGATGTTAACCCTGCAGGGGTGTACTTCTTCACACACGCTCTCACCACTTACCGCCGTTTACACGACATGTACTCGGCAACCTTCAAGCGGAAGCCCAACGTGGGTGTCGGCCACGGCCTGCCTAAACACTCAAGTCTCTAGTCCAGGTTTATCGCCTATTCGGGTTCCATCCATGAGGAGATCCGGCCGGAGTTTCACTCACAGCTCCAAACGATGTGTGCAGGGTTCCCGAGATACCTAACGGGTATCCGGTACACCGTGCCACGTACCTACCGCATCACAGCCCACCCCTACGGTCAACGTTGTCCACGGCCTCCAGTAGGCTACAAACACCAGAAACTACTTGCAACTCCTGGACAGAGAACTAGGGTGAATAAGAAGCCGAGAGGGTCCATTGGTTTCGGGCCCAATGCATGGTAGTAGCTGAATCATGGATCACAAACATAGAACTCAGTTTCTAAGGACGGCTGCAATGAGACAACCCACCATGTACTCCTACATGGCCTCTCACCGTTACCTTTTACCAAATCGTGTTCACACACTTAGCTCACACACAGTAGGACATGTTCATGCACCTCTGATTCATCCCCGATGAATCAGACCTGACTCAACTCTAAGCAGTAGCAGGCATGACAAACAAACATGAATGAGTAGGCACAACAGGGCTCAAGCAACTCCTACTCATACTAGTGGGTTTCATCTATTTACTGTGGCAATGACAGGTCATGCAGAGGATAAAGGGGTTCAGCTACCGCAGCAAGTAACAAATGACTCGTTGTTGTCCTAATGCAGTAAAAGAGAGCAGGGCGAGAGAGTAGGATTGTATCGAAATGAACAAGGGGGTTTTGCTTGCCTGACACTTCTGAAGATAACATAGAGTCTTCATCAGTGTCAACGATCACAACGTCGGAACATCGTCTGGGAGGGAACAGATACCGACAACAGAGAAGAAACACGATCAATGCAATGCTCAATATGATGCATGCTATGACATGGCAATATGAATGTGTTTTGGACTAATGCATCTAGCTATGATTTAAATGAAGTTGGATTAAATACATGATTCAAATTCCAACTCCATATATGATTATTTAAATGCCCTTTATTTGTTTTGTCCAAAACAGAGGACAAACATTGTTCAAACATGTATGAAAATGGTACAGATGGATTCCTTGAATTTTTCTGATAATTTTTCATATATAAATTATTTAATTTGGAGTTACGGTTGAATTTCTATGAATTTTAAAAGTTTTAGCTATTTTCTGAAATAAATAAATCGTTTAGATTTATTTAAAATCCAGAGAAGGGTTTACTGCGTCAGCCTAACATCATCATGACGTCAGCAAGTCAACGAGGCGCGGTCCGGGTCAAACCTGACGCGTGGGTCCCGCGTGTCAATGTAATTAGTTTAACTAATTCAATTAGTACTAATCCTAATTAACTAACAGGGCTGGGCCCCACCTGTCATTGAGTCAGGGGGAGTCAAACTGGGGTCAAACCCGGGTCAAACTCGCCGGAGTTGACCCGAGGCTCGTCGCCGGCAAGGCCAGGGACGGCGGAGAGCGTCGGGATTCGCCCTCCGATGACCAAAAGAGCGGCGGAGGGGCTCTATGAGATGCCCAGGCTCGCGCGCATCTAACACGACTAGTGGCAGCAGCCGGGGTGGACCGAGCTTGCCGGAAACGAGCTCGCGGCGGCGGCCGGAGTTCGGCCAACGGCGGGTTAGGCGATGCAGGGCGCCAGGGGAGGCGTTGGTGAGTGCTATGTGCTCCTGGGACTGTGGTGAGCACGACGGTGGGCTCGGGAACGAGCTGCGATGGCTGTAGCCACGGCCACGCCATGGCCGGCGGCGAGAAGCTCTCGGCCGCGGTGGGAGATGGGGCTAGGGGGCGAGAACGGAGGGGACGAGCACAGGAGAAGCGGCAGGGGCTCACAGCGGATCCATTTGAGGCGGAGACGAGGCCGGGGGAGCGTCGGAGGCAGCACAGGGTCGCCGGAGATCCGGGCGGCCGAAGGTAGAAGACGACGATGGCGGCGACGTTGCAGGGCGCCTGAGGATGCGTGGCTCATCTGGGATGACGCGGACGACGAGGCGGAGCCGACGAGCACGACGGTTGCTCGAGGGACGGCCGGTGAGCGTGGTGGCGGTGTGCGGCGGCGACGGAGGCGTTCGGGCGCGAGAGGGGAAAAGAGCAGAGAAGGGGGAAAGGGTCAGGGGAGAGTGAGAGAGAGCCAGGGGCTGCGTGGCGCTCCGTGGCGTCGTCTAAGAGGGGCCGGGAAAGCAGGAGGTGGCCGGGGAAGCAGGAGGTGACCGGGGCAACGTCGGCGCTCGCCACCGAGCTGCTTTGGGGCGAGGAGAGGAAGACGACAGGAGGAGGCCTGGTGGGCTGGGCCGTTGGAGCTGGGCCGGTTGATGGGCGCCAGGTAAGTTCAGGTGGGTTCTCTCTCTCTTTCTTTCTCTTTTCTATTTTCTGCAATTGGTTTTGATTTGATTTAAAATATCAAATCATTCTTCTAAAACTTTCTGTAAATTGTATGTGAGCTCAGGAACTAGTCCGAAGTCACAGACAACTTACAAAAATATTTGAACTTTATTTCTTATATAATAGAAATAAATTCAACTCAAATATGTCATTGGTTTAAGTCAAAGGCCTAAAAATAAATAATTCTGTGATTCCGAAAATATTGGTTTGAATTTTATCTCTTACCAATATTTTCACTTTGGACTCATTTGATGAGATTTAAATGTTGGTTATTTTTAGAGGTCTTCTGAGGCTTTTGAAAATTCCTCAATTCAAATTTCATTTGAATTAAAACATGATACTCACATGAGGGTCTAGCCTAGTGCATAACAGGACCAGCATGTGACATAGTAGCTTGCGTCGAGGGAAAAAAATTAATAGTTACCTCACACTACTTATTTTTATGAGCATTTATCTCCATATATCCTCAATGTACCTGCCCTGAAACCTGACACTGACACGCACATCCATACGTGTACGCATCCAAACTGCACTGCACATCCGCATGTACTTATCCAAACCGAACGCACTGCCCTAATTTCACTGCACATTAATCGGACAGAAAAGAGAAGAGAATACAGTTGACATCACTGCACTTGCACACCACAAGCTGAAGAAGCAGATTGATTGATCGTACTACTAAATTGAACTTTGTCCGTGCAGACATTGCCAGACGGCAGCGGGTAGAGAAGAAGCATCCATGGATCGGACTAGTACATCACAAGAACAACGCAAAGCTGCTAGATAGTGCTAACATAAAGAAAGAAACGCTACTGGTACACTCAGACGTGGCACATACATACATTATACATACCACAACTTGCTATCCAGACCAAGGCAACCACGCCGAGATAGACGACGGACGGACCTATCCTATTCACACCCTGGCCACGCCGCCGGTGCCCAAGCCCTTGTTATGCGGGTCGCCGACGCCGGCGCCGTAGGCATGCTCCGCCGGATACCCACCACCGGCATGGTTACCGAACTGGTTCCCAAAGAGGCCAGAGTGCAGCGCGAGCACGTAGAGCAGCTGCGTGAAGGCCAGGATGATGACGAACGCCTCGAGCACCCGGAGGCGCCACCCGCGGTACCCGCCGATATGGATCTCCTTGCACGCCAAGCCAAAGGCCAGCGCCGTGATGGCCCAGGCCACCAGCGCCGACGAGGCGGAGGTGGCCAGGCTGTCCCCGCGCCAGGTGCGGACGTGGTGCACGCCGGCGAGCTTGGATGCGGCGCCGACGACCCCGGCTAGGATGGCGAAGAGGAGGAAGTAGAAGGTGGCGCCGTTGCCGCCGACGCCGGGGCGGTTGGTGAGGCCGTTGATGAAGTGGTTGAGGTTCCAGCTGGCGAAGCCGATGACGATGATGTACATGATGAGGTTCAGCACCAGCAGCGGCGCCACCATGTTACGACCCACGCCCGCCATTGCGATTTGCTACTGCTACCTTCTTCTTGGTCGAGGTGGAGATGGAGGATGGAGCTGTGTCAATCACTGGATTGGCTTTGGTCGACCGATGATTAGCTGCGTACTGGGATTGGGTGCAAAGCAAGAATCGAATGCAGTATGATGATTTCTGAATGAGGTGGTGGAGTGAAGCTAGCGTAGTGGGATAAATATATAGGTGTGCAGGGGGAGTAAGGGGCGGGACACGTGTGATGCGCCGCTTACGGGCGGCGTGACGCGTGCGCGCATGGGGCTTTACCGCTTTACACGGTAGCTGCTTCGAGTAGCCGTTGGCAGCGTACGGATGGTTCCACACTAAGCCTCCGTTCCTGGCCACTAGAAATAGAAATGTCACTGCTGTTCGTGAATTGAAAGCCTCCCCGTCAACTGATGATTAGCTACGTAGTGGGATTGGTTGCAAGGAAAGGAAGAGTCGAATGGTAGATGGTTTGTGGACGAGGTAATTGGATATTAGGGCATTTTCAACACGGGATTCTTAAACTGTCCACATATGTTTTTTCCGAACGTGTTTTGTCATTCAACGTGAAACTATTTGCCGAGGCAACGAACCTGACAGTGAACATTAGGGGTACGAATAAGATTTGATCCTAGCTACAGCATAGGTGTGTCATTCGGATTTTATGAGTTCGGGCCCCTCGTGGAGAGGCAAAAGCCCTATGCCTCGGGCCCTTGAGGTTGTCTTTCTCTGGTGTTTGGATTATAGAGGGTTGTGAACCCTTGTCTCGGATCTAGGGGACGACGGCTTATATAGAGTGTGCAGCCCCTCATTATGACTACGTGGGAGTTGAAGGAGTGAGTTAATTACATGTGTTACTGGTAACTGATGTACTAATAAATTGTGCGACCCTTTCGCCTCCTGTGTCCGAATGCTGGCGAGCATGCCCGACTGGCAGTAAAGCATCCGAGTGAGCTGCCTCCATCCGAGTGGATGGATTACATCCGAGTGAATGTTCAAAGGTGGCATCTGAAAGCACATATGGTTCAGGAACCTTTTGTTGATGATGTGGGGTCCTAGGTGGGTCCAGGATATCATGTCCTTGACCCTACCCTGAGTAGGTGTCCCCATCATTAGCCCCCGAATCGGTTGAGGTTTCGTAGAATGAATTAGCTGAATCCTTGTCTCTGGCCGAGTGTTGCCGCTCTAAATCCATCACCAAGTGTTAGCCAATCGTGACATGAGCGAAACCACAACAGATTTTGGACTAAGTGTTTCCCGACAGATCGGGCTATGTTGACAGCTGGGTGAAACTTGGTGGCAGTTGTATGTCTCTTGAAAGAGATAGACTAGCGGTCTAAATGCGGACGTGCCATGGAACTAGAGTGGTGATGCCGGCCGTGGGCTGATTCTCTGGAGAGATGCCACTTATTATCTAGGAGGAACATCAATACATGTCATCTCTGAGCCCAAGTTTATGAGACTCACTCCTTGGAGCCTAGAAGAAGGGCCAAGTTACGCCGTAGAGGAGCGTTGAGCTCATCCCATTGCGGTCCTAAAGTTTGCCTCAATCAGATTTTATTGTGTGCCAGGGTGGATGAAGATCTTTTGAAGGCGCTCGACGGACCAAAAGAGATTCATTGGACAGATACCCGGGGGATCAATCGGATCGATCTGCGACGGAAATTCCACGATTTGAAATCTTGCGCACGTGCGTGAGCAGTTGCGTCGTGATTAGTGGAGAAAATGGGGACGCGTTGCCTCGATTTCCGCCTAGAAAATCCGCCACATGCCCCACTTCCTCTGCATAGCGAGCACCGCGGGCGTCGTTGGATCCGGAGATCGATGACTGTCGATTTGCGAGGCGGATTTACCCGGGGTATAAAATGGTGGAGGAATAGGGTAAAATTCACCAAATCCCCTTGTCACCCTCACTCGTTTCGACATACTTGCCACCTGCACCTCTACTCGACGCCAGAGCTCTCGAAGCAGATGGGGAAGGAGACAACGATGAAGCTCGAGCGGGCAAAGAAATCACGGAAGGATACGTCATTGAGCGCCTGCCTTCCGCTCGACAAGATCCAAAGGGATTGGATCCCATCGCGAGTAACCAAAGAGCATGTGCTGGAACTCGTCAGCGACAGGCTAATTCCGAAGCGAGGATGGAGGTTGCCGGAGGCGGATGAGATGGAGCCTGTGCCGCATCCGTACGAGCGCATCCTCCTCCTCATGCACCTCAAGCGAGGTTTCTCTATGCCGCCTCACCCTTTCTTCCCTGGTTTACTGAACTTTCTCGGGGCGCATCTGCATCATCTCCTGCCGAATGCAGTAGTGTATCTGTCCACTTTTGTTTCCCTCTGCGAGAATTCCATTGGTTTCCACCCCCATTGGGGTTTGTTCATGCACATTTTCACCTGTCGGCCGATGACCGTGACGAAGGCCTCCCCAGATGGGGCCAAAACAAATGTCATCTAGCAGTGCGGTGGGTTAGATATACAGCTCAGGGATAAGAGTGATTTACCTTCCATGAGCTTCCCAAATTCTATCAAGGGCTGGCAGAACACTTGGTTCTACTGCAAGGACGTTCCGAGTGGTGGCTCACCTATTGGTCTCCCACCGTACTTGGGAGAGAGAGTAGGTGCTCGGCCGTCCCTCAAGATGGCGAAAGAAGAGAAGGTAGATGTAGGAATTTTGGTCGATGCCCTGGTGGGTGTTGTGAGGGTTGGAGTGGACGGAATGGGTCTATTAGAGACCTTCCTCAGTCGGCGCATCCAGCCGTTGCAGTAGTGTATCTTATTGCTAGATTTTTTTCTGTCTAATTATGTTGTCTTGCTTATTGAGTTGCTCTCTTTCTAGTAAACTTAATTCCTTGAGATGCGTGCTGGATAGCGGTTTCAGGGTGCATTAATAATATTATATGCAGTTGGATAACGGTCTACTTATCGCGACCGTAATACCTATACAAGACTATGTCATGAATGATCATAGTTTGAATGTTGTTTTTTGTCAATTGCCCAACAGTAATTTGTCTATCTTGCCATTACCTTCTTTCGAGATACATGCCACTAGTGAACCTATGGCCCTCGGGCCTATTATCCACATAAACTTGCTTCTACTAAATTGCCTCTTTTATTTTCTTTTACCATTTGTCGTTTTATTATCTCATTACCTATCCATTATTTTCTTTTAACCATGTAACTAGCAAGACGGGGGAATTGATACCCCCACGAAGTTGAGTGCACATATTTATTTTTCTTATCTTGTTAGCTTGCTGAGTCCAATTGGATCTATTAAACATTGGATCTTAACTAAGGAAAATACTTTTGCTTCTCTTCTAGGAAATCCAACAACTCCTATGGGGTAGCAGTGGACCATGTTAATAATTTAATGACGAAAGTTCTACTAATGTTTTTCACTAAAAGATATGGAATTCAGTGTAATGCCACGTCACTTAATACTCCAAATGCTAGAGGTTTAATATTATGCATAGTTTAGTTTCTTTGAAAGAACAAATTATTATCCATTACTGTAACTCGGGGTCCTTTGTATTCTTTATTTCACATAAGGCCGGTCCGAACAAAATGGGATCTCAGAAAATTAAAAATACATATGTTTTTATATCAAAATTTTATACTTACTTAAATTTATGTTTATTGTACTAAAATATTAATGACTATAATTTATAACTTATTTCATTTTTATATTTTCTCACATAACAAAATCATTTTCATATTTTCTCACATAACAAAATCATTAATTGTATTGTACTTTGTTACCAACCGTAATGTCTATCATTAAATAAATTATTTCGGCTAAGTCAAAGAGTGTGTTGTAATAAAAGTTATCGTTCAATTATTTATTGAAATAACATACATACATACAGACATACTATATGTATATATTCATGTGTATGTGGCATGTGTTCATGTATGTTTTAATATTATTAAATATAATGTAGGTATCTCTATAGTGTACCTGATATCTTAATAATGTTTCTAGTGTATTACTAGGTAAGCATATTATTTACAGAACTTCCTAGATTATAGACTAAGCTGATTGCAAATGTGTTTCTTTGCGCTTTGTACTGAAATAGCATCGATTAATTAATGAAAAACATAAAAAAAAAACATAAAATACCGGCAACTCAATTTTGCATGCATATAATTTGCTTCTTTTATATGCTTGTCTAGACGTTGTGGTTCATTTGGTGTATACAAAGAGCTAATATTAGTATTGAAAATAAGAGGTTTTGCACAAAATTAAACACAAAAATATAGTTAACATAGATTTTAGTCTAACTCGCAGGATGTCTATCGGTGATAGGTTAATATGCTAACATAACTCACTATAGTCTAGCAGATTCACCATCACCTATTAGACTGGTTTGTTCGTATAGAGTTGCTCCTTCAAAATAAGGATTTTATTTACTAACATATACAATATTCGAGGACAATGGAATCAAGACGAAGAAAAGCCGATCCAACCAAGGTTGGCTATAAATACTCGAGGACCAAGACCCTAAGGAGGCAGTTGCGAGTTTGAGAGCCAAGGTGATGGAATTGAAGCCCTAGTTTAGCATAGAATAGATTCGATATAAGACACGACCACCTCAAAACTCAACGACTTCATACAAATGATTAGACCCACATATTGTACTTGAATTGTTCCCCGTTACGATTCCATACAAAAATGATTAGGCTTGTTGCTTGCATCGCAAAGGTCAAAGCTTGGCTAAAATCGCTCCCTCTGAGCATCCAATAACTTGAGCATCTCCCACTGTCATACAAATCAACATATGTTATTGTACCATTGTTTGGTTATTTTTTGGAACACCTTACTAGCAAACAAGTAGAGACAGACACAAGTTGGTAGTACTTTTAGTGAAAGCACAAATGTAAAATATAAAGGTCGGGCCGGTGTATTGCGGAAGCTTCAGGTGCTTCACAATACAATGATCTATCTAATGCAAAACTGAAATTAAGGTCACATTAATCTGTTTCTCTCAACATGCAAACATGCCACCTCA